AACCTATAAAAAAAATATTGTTTTGTGTCCACACTTTTTTATTTTAATTATATCAAAATAGTTGAAAATGCCTCGACAAAAATATAGTGGTGTGTATAAATTGTTTAAAGTAAATGTTAAACTGTTTTTAAAAGTTTAATAAAACTATAAAAGTATTATAAAATATTAAAATGTACCTATTTATAATTTATATTTTATTCAATCCTTAAGTTTATTGCAATAGATCTTCGTACGTCTTTTATAAGTAGTTATAAGATTTTGATTATAAGGATTAATCAATAATTTATTTTATTTTATATTATTATTATTTAAAATTTTGTTTTTAAATCATATTTTATTATAAAAAATAAAATGTATATTAAACTAAATTAAATTATATTATGTGTGTCACAACTGTATTAGACATTAGTACTAAAAAAATTGATTGGAGTTATGCTGAATCAAATTTAACACTTTACGCACAACAAAAGTGATATATTACTCGATTTTAAATAACTCATAACCCGAATAAAATATAAACTGGCTAAACAAAACCCATATTCTTTAAAATGAAGAAAACCTGAAACCATAACCTCTATAATTTATCTTTAAAGCACCCGAAACTATAACCCGAATAAATCATTTCGGTGCAAAGCATTGATTTAATCTACTACGTAGTGGTAGTACTAATAAGGCTTACTAGTAAAATAAATTTCTGTATTTACAATAATATCATCAAATATACTATATGACTAAGTTATATATTATAGACTTGCGGACCGTATTCGCTCAGAATCATATAATGATTTTATATCACTGAATTCAAAATTTAACAATAACCATTACAGTGACCTACTTGTAACCTTCTATACAGCAGAGCGACATCAACTTAGCAGCTTTTTTTATTACTCTCTTACAAATTTTATCTGGCCTTTGTACACGTACAAAAGCATAACATTGGAAATCGTCGTTTGTTGTTAAAAAAAATAAATTAAAATGTTGAGCGAAACTGAATAAAGCGTGTTTAATCACGTCGAAATTAAAACACGTCCTGGGAGGCTGTGACCTTTTATAGGAAATATATTTTCTATCTCTACAAATGAAGAGATCAATACCGAATGTATCAATATAAACAGTGCCGACCCATTTTTTAAAGTTCTTGTAAGAATCATTTTTGTTAAGAACGAACTGAATATGAGAAAATGGAAAATTACGCGTTCATTAATAAATACATGTTATACTTTTATATATAATAAATAATATTTCAGTTAAACAATACAATTATGATAGGTTGCACTCAATTGTGACCTTTACAATATATTTATTCTGCCAGAACGACTCGTCGCGACGTGATTGGATTTAATAAAATGTATAGGCATACTCTCTGTCTTTACCTTCAGAATATAAGATTTCCATTTAAGCATTAGATTGCACAAGTATAAATTTATTTAATCTTCAACTTATTATTTTTAATAGTTAATATGAATTATTTAAAATGGAAACCTAATTTCCGTAATATTAAATAATATATATATATGTATATTACAAATATGTTAGATATTATAAATCCATATTTTCTCAATGAATGCACTTAGTACTTACTCTGTATTGACTATTGACTCAATCGAGTTATACTGATATAGGTATTAGATATTTCTTATATAATATTATGGGTTGATCGTTATACATTATGTAATATTTCTTTTTTTCAATAATTGTTGAAAAGAATAATTAAAAATCAACATTTCTCTAGCTTAGATTATTTGTGAGCCGTGGTGATTAGCTTAGTATAATATATAGTTATTGAACTCTGGTCAATATTTTTTAAATAATTGTATGGTAATATTTCAAAATTAAAAATCAATGAAGTGATTTTTCAAACGAACTTTGGTATCCAAATGATATATATTTATTGATAAAAATACTTTACCCCGACCGCTTAACATTTAGTATAAACTTGGCAGTCATTCTCAAATCCCAATGGTGTTGAATAGTGTAGGTTGGAATTTTGAACCTGTTATCCAATTTAAAAAGTATTTTTCGAATGCAATATAATTAATAATACTGTGCTGTTATATTACACAGTGGACTAACTATATTACCTACATTTCACGCTGTCTTACACGCATGTTGTAAAAAACAAAATGTTGGGCACTTTTTGCTGGAGACATGCCACTATGAAAGCATTGTGGTTTAAGGTTTTAGCCAAACTTAGCTCAAAATTGTTCTTTGAATAAGACGTTTGATTTAAAATGTATTTTTCATTTGTGAGCTCATACCTTTTAATATTGGGGAGGGGAGGGGGTGAGGTAGAGTAAGGTGAAAACAAAATTATAAAAATTACGTTAAAAGAAGCACGATTCTGAGAAATGTTCACTAACTCCTATCATAAAACTTGTTAAAATATCTAGTAGATAGGTAATGTTAGATGACTGTTCCATCCAACAGTGCGAGCATGGAATAATTAAGGATCGTTGTAAGAGAAATCGAAATATTCCGAAATAGTGAAAACGCAATATTACCTTGTAATACGTATAATATATTAATATCTATATATATTTATGAAATAATATTATATTCAACACGTTTGTGTATTACTTGAACGATATTACTTGTCAGTAGTCAAACACTTTACTTTGGTTGGATAGTGTAGGCGTCATTCAACTCATATCAATCAATACATTTTCATTTATATTTACATTATTTGAACCTAACACTTTGGTATAATGTGATTTTGTGATATATAATTTATTATTAGAATACGTGTGTGAAAACATAGTACAGACAATTTAAATGTACTTTAAATACAGTCACACAAACCCATGGGTGTCTAATATTACTGATGACTGATCCGAGGTGTACCTAGGAATATATAGTAACAATGGTGCATGTGTAGTAAGTGGGTGAATTTTTTTCATAGGTCCGTGATAGTAGATGGACATAAATGCAATTATTTACACCATATTATTGTAGAACTATATAAAGGCATGACAAACGGTGTTCTGAATCTGTGGCAGTTGGGATATTAAAAACAAAAGTACCTACGAATGCAAATGTCGTTTATTACCGCAATGTGTGTAAGTGTCGTGGACATCTCCAATTGAAATAATAGAACTTTCTAAAAATTACTTATTTCGTCTTTTTTCCATAGAGTAAATAGTAACGGTTTTCGAGAGCACATACACAACACCCTCCAATTTTATGAAGCAATGAGTCAATTATTCAAAGAACAAACAACTGCTAACAAAATACGATATTATTGTAGTATAATGTCTGCATTTTAAAATAGATGTTTCATTATACATGGGTATGGATACATTTATTGTTCTGTATAATATTGAATAGTTATTGTTCAAATCATGCAAAAAGAAACATTTCGGAGTAAAATAAACAACAAAGGTTACAAAATATTTAATTTCAAAGCCATCTTAGTCACCTTCCATAAATAATTATAAGTACGAACAAAATAAATGTATGTTTTATATTAATAATTGTACTTACCTAATTATATCTAATATTTCTTCCTTTTAATAACAAGAATATTATCAGCCAAATAATTCAAAATTGTTATTAACTTGATACATTTCGTATCTTAGTTCAAAGTAAAGAACGAAATGATTTGTTTTGTCTTTTATTTTATCTATGAACAAATCCTCTAGAACATTGTTTGAGTATTATATACTTAGTAGACTTTAATAGTAAACTAACATACACAGATAAATATTCAATATAACTACATGGTATAGTATATTACGATTGCAAGTTGAAACCATCAAATCGTTTCTAAATACTTTTATGGATACTATTTTATCATTGTTCTAACGAAATACATTTCGTGGTGTCTTTCGTTTTACCGTATCTAAACTCAATGTCCAATCAATGACAAACTACAATTCTTTTATGGTTTTATGATGAACAATTGACCTATAAACTATTCATAATGTGACTAAAGGCAGCATTCTATATTAAATATTAGTATTGGAAATTCTTGGCAATCACTCTGGAAATGATATTTAAAACGTAAACTAAACAACATATTTATCTAGAAACTCTAAAAAAAGTAATACTATTATATTATAGGTAGTTGATCGTTCAATAAGGTAAATTAAAACTTACAATTTCTTTTGAGTCTTTTAACTATTCAAAAAATGCAACATTTTTATCATATGTATATTTATTATATTATTAAATGCATGCATAACAATAATTAATGTATATTATATTATTCCACGGTTTTATAATTACCCATACAATACATAAGGTAGGTACCATTGGTTATAAATATACAAGCTTTCATAATCAATGGAAATACTTCCAACGACCGGGCATGTGTTAAAAATAATATTCTATTTTGATATATTTTGTATTCTGTGTAGAGTTTTAGGGAGATGCTCGTTTAACATATTATTAAAGGTGCGATATATAATATAAATGCAATCTCAATGTGCATACGAAACGTTATATGGTATGAATATTTATTACAAAATAATTAAATAGGGACAATAACGCTGCACTGGATAATTAATGTAGGTATCAGATACTAATATAATAATATAATTTATTTATGTATGCATACATATTTTTATAAATTATAATATTATATTAGTATATAATATGGGATGTCGCCGGTTTCCGCCAGTACCTTTTTTTTCACTAGTAAAAAATTATAGAATTTTTAAAGTTCGGGAACTCTTAATGAAAGATTTAATAATAATATATTTTTTTGAAATTTCATATATTTATTAACACTATACATCTTTCATTAAGGGTTCCTAAACTTTAAAATTCTATAATTTATGACTAGTGTAAAAAGGTATTGTCGGAAACCGGCTATACCCAATATTAGGTACTAATATAATAATATAATTTATAAAAAATATGTATACATATTTAAATAAATAATATTATTATATTAGCATCTGATATCTATATTAATTATCCAGTCCTATTTAATTATTTTGTAATAAATATTCATACCACATAACGTTTCGTATGCACATTGAGATTGCATTTATATTATATATCGCACCTATAATAATAATATGTTAAACGAGCATCTCCCCAAAACTCTACACAGAATACAAAATATATCAAAATAGAATATTATTTTAAACACATACCCGGTCGTTGGAAGTATTTCCATTGATTATGAAAGCTTGTATATTTATAACCAATAGTATTACCTAGGTACCTATCTTATGTATTGTATGGGTAATTATAAAATCGTGGACATTTTGTGCTTGAATAAAACTGGAAAAGGGACTTTCTTCTTCATTGGAACTACAATCTGCAACAAACATTGAATAATACAATTTATAATATTGAGGAGGATATTATAACCAATTTTTTTAAGTACTTGGGTATTCTCGATGCATTTATCTGACGTTCTTTCTCGTTATACAATTTATCAAATTTCGTTTGAAGGTACAACAAATTCCGTTCTCCGGTCATTAATCTGGATTGTAATAGTTTATTTTCGTCTTTCAACTTCGAAAGACATTTGTTTTCGAATCTAAAAATAGGTATGCACAGGGTTGTTACTTAATCAGCTGTTCAAGTATAATATTATTTCCTCTTCCTAGAATAAGCAATATTTAACATAAATTAAACTAATTACGTTAATTTTTTATTTTGAATTGACAATTTCCCGATTTCAATTTTTGCTTCGTTAATATTTTTCGATTGAATTTTCTTATCAAACTCGCTTGAGGTCTGAAATCGTGCAACTGCGTTTGTCAATTCATCGTTTTTTTGTTTAGTAGTATTCAACTCTTCTTGCATTCTATGGATTTTTTTCTCAAACTAAGGAACAACATACTCCAATGAACAAATTATTTACGTAACATTATTTACATAATTTATGAGTAAATAGTTATTTTCAACAAGAAAACATTGTATAAATGTATGAAGTACGGAGGTCGTCAGTAAGTCAATCACTAAAAGTGATTTTGAGAAAATCGTTTTACCTCTTCAATAGTAGATTTCATTTGGTTTGCTTCTAATTGTTGTCGTTGTTGGCATTTTATATTAAATTCTAATTGCTTTTTCATATTGTTTTCTAATTTCTCTGCTTGTTCAGTTTTATTTCGTAATTCATCATTTTTTTGTTCCACACCTTCAAAAACTTTATTTGCTCT